AATTTAGTAACCAGCCAACCCGAATGGCACCGCCGACTTTGCTCGACTCTCCGAAATTACCCTTGTAAAAATTAATTGCGACCGTGTTGGATATTAATTCTTGAGATCCGAAGAAAACGTTCTTGCCAAACGAATACATGCCAAATGCGTTTCACTGGCTTTCCTTATCGAAGCTCCCATGCTACGGTTTTTCACCGACCTTTTCATCGGCCCGATACCGAAAAGTCGAAGAACGCAACGTTTCTATTCGAGGTGGAACAGGTTGATTACGATTCAGGCTGCGGGACCGGTGATATTTCACCGCGTTTCGAGGCTTTACGATCGGACGTTTTTAATTTCCCCCGTACGCGCCCGAAGAAAGAGCCGGCCGAATGCAAATTGTGACAGGAAAGTTATGCGCACCATGAAATTAATGTCTTCCCGGGATCGGGACTTGATAGGCCGTTGTGCACATCGTACGGGCACACGTATTCATTAAACCTTTAAGCTGAACGGAATTGAATTGTAATATGAATGCGAGAACGAGCGTTTTGCTTGCAGGTAGAAGACTATCGCGTGACGATGGCCGGCAATTCGTCAGCGGTTCGTCCGTTGGTTCGTCGTCACCGAACGTCTTTTCTGATTTTCGTCATCTTCGTCGCCGCTTTCTCGATTCCGATGTCGGCCGATGCTCAGAATAACAAGTACGGGGATTATGCGTACGCGAAAAAAGCCGAGGATAACCTAGAGTTTTTCAAGAATCCTAAGCTGTCCAACTTGTCCTCGGCCGATGTCAAGGATAGTACAATGGTAAGTATTTCGGCTTGTTCCCAGCCGAGACGGCTGATTCTAAGTAAATTCGTGCCGCGGCAGCGGCGCAGACAATGGGGATATACTCTTAAAGAGCGAATGAAGGGTTCGCGTCCAGCGAATGATATTCGAAAAAAGGAGTCAGCCTCTCTCTCGTGTAGCTCGTAGCAAGACGCGGCGGACGCGGCAAACTCTGGCCGACAGACTTTTCCTTTCGGACGCGTTTTAATATCTCAAGCATTAATTTCTTTTTGTGGAAAACATACTGTCCGTTCCGCTTTGTCTTGCCGCATCTTCGTGTTCCACGTCTCTTCGTTCCAGCCCTCTCTTCTGGCCGATTCGTCCTTACGCTGGATGACAAAATGACAAAGGGGTGGTCGCCCCGGGCCAGCGATATTACCGTTTCCGTTTCGGAACTATGCGAGCTGTCTACACCCCTCCAGCCCGTGTGTATCCAGGCCGAAAACGTCTCGTGATTGATTATGCTCGCCGTACTCTTGGCTTCGAACACCCTCCACGGAACGCGATTGATGGAAAGCTTGCGAAACGAACCGCCACCACGATCGAGATATCGTTAGAACGTCTTTCGAGGATGGAAAGGGACTCATTGGTGCGACGTTTCGCGGAAATGCGCAATCTCATAAAAGAGATAATGTCTTGAATAAAACAAGGTGTAATGCGAACCTCGCAACGGAAAGCCGTAGTACTTAGATGACAGGAACGCGAGAATTTAAAAGACATTCAACAAATGTGATTAAAGTGGCGTTTTAATTCGTTATGGATTTGCAACTAAGGACATTGTAATAAAAACTGGAGACGCTCTGTTACATGCTGTGGCAAATAATCGTCTCCAAAAAAGGACAGCCGTGGAGTATATTAAAATGGGACTTCATTAAGGTCCACAGGAAACAGGATGAGCAACAGTGGGAAGAGAAAAAGAGGGTGCGAGAAGAAGAACGGGTCAGAAACGAAGAAAAAACCTCGCAGAGGTTGAGCGGAGTAGCCGCAGACGCGGGAGGTGGGAAAGGATGACGGCGAGTGTTTATTTAGTTAAATGCCGCGTGTAATTGGGTGTAAGACTTTTTTTGTTCGGCGGCGAGGCGAGACGAGGCGGCGGTCACCGGTGTGCACGAAAAAGGCCGCGACGCGACACGCCGGGCTCGGTTAGGCCGGCAGGGAGACGGCAAACCCCTCGGTCGTGGCGTTTTCCACGGCCGGAGCTTTCCACCCCTTTTTCCGCGTGCTGGCAGCCACCTGATGACTGGCTGGCACAAGGGCCCGCCGGGAATGAGATGCAGATTGCCAGAGGCCACTTCAGCCGCTAGAGGGAGTGAATTTTTAATAACACCGTGCCCGTATCCGCGCGCGTTCTCTGCGTAGAATCCCATTGTCTTGGCCACGTCTCGCGTACGCGCTGGAAAAAGGACGAGAAACCGTACCACGGACGATGCGTAACGGAACCGCCGCCCGGTATTATTACAGGAGGAGAATTGTCAGCGGCAGGACATGCCCGGCCTTCGCGAGAAACCGTGGCAAGGATTTCGCATTCCTTCCAATGCCGCTTTGCCGCGGACACGTTAAATAAAGCTTAATACATTGCGGGCTATTGCTGTTATCTGCCTCACGGACTTTTGGCAAACTAGTTTTAGAATATCCTGACATCGGCATTATAGGTATAAAATAAAGGGTTCCACTTGTACCTCTTTGTAGGTGAAATCTATAAAGTCAGTTGATGATCATCGAAGTAGGCAATCTTCTAAAGCTGCCGAGAAAAGTCCGGCACTAGAAAAATTTTTAAGGGATGTCTTGAAGGCTCAAAACGACTTGAGGTGGATAGATCAAGTTTTGGGAACTAGTCGTGATAAAGATTGGGGAAAGTAAGTTAATTGTTCACAAGCATAGGTCGAAGTGTTTACGAACGAAATATTTACATACTAGTAAACGTCATGGGAATAAGTTGCGTGCGAAGAGGAGCTTCGATCGGAACTACGGAAGCATTTGGAGAACGAATAGAAATAAGTATAGGGACGATAATATTTTGCAAGTTCCCCGGAGAGCATCGTTTGATGATGACATGATGTTCAAAAGGAACGTCGATTTTGAGGATGTTGACACATTTCCAAATCGGTATCGAAATACTCTCGTTAACATATTCTAAATATAATTAGAGTAAACATTTTAAGGGTTCCACGTTTAATGACTGATCTTGATATATATTCTCGAAAACATGACTTGGAGTAACTTTTTTCTATACATGATCAAAGGGTCAGTTCCTATAACATACTTAAAAACGATTGCAATCAGCGAGGGAACAACTTTTGAAAATACAAGAGTACATAC